ATTATCTTGAAGAGTGGTAATTATACTTATGATGCTCCAAATTTCAAGACATTGTTAAATGATATCAGTGATAACCGTACTATGGTAGGTTTCGCTAGGTACTATACTTCGAACCCTGATTTAGTCAAGAGATTATATGAAGGTTGGGATTTAACCCCGTATGACAGACTCTCTTTCTACGGTTCAAGTAACTGGGGTTATAACACATTCAATCATTATAATGGAAAATTCCAGTTTACGAAGGATATTGAAAGTAATAAATTGCCTAAAGCTATTGAAGAGATAGAAGTTAAATAGATATATATAGACAGTATACATGCAAAATGCAATTTGATCTTAGAGTTCATTTATCTGTCATTTGTAGACAACTAAATAGGTATGTCGCAAATTTCGATATCTTTTCAGAATTGATAGGGATTCGTTGTCGAGCTTGATATAAGGGACTATTTTGGAATTGCCTTTCAACAGTTTGCGTTATTTGAATCAGTGTTATTTCAAAAGGCCACATTCTTTTAAAGAAAGATAACCAAAAAAAAAGATAAACGTGAATTCCGGATGCATTTCTTAAACAGGAATGTACATCAACTGTAAATTATGCGACAACCGAACTATAAACATCAATATCTTTAATCACTACTGACTATGTACTTTTAATATGAATGAAAGTATATATATTTATTCTAAGCATTCGTATTAGTGATATAATAATTGGTGCTCGAATAATAATAAGCTCTGGTAGGGAGATTATCCGAATTTGAGGTTTTCTTTTTATTACTAAGCTGCAGCAATTTCTTGACGCGGGCATTTATAGTGAAGACAATGTATATCTTATTTCACTTACTAATAATACTTTTGTGAATATGTATAAATGGGTATGCATTGGATACGAAATAATTCTTTGCTAGATTTTTAAAATATTCAATATAGCATAATAGAATGAGCGGTGTCCAAATTGCAGCATTAAAAGATACAGACTTGTTCAAGTCTTTAAAAGTCGGTGAACATACATTATCAAACAAAGTGGTTTATCCACCAACTACCAGATTCAGAGCATTAAATGACCACACACCATCAGATTTGGAATTGGAGTATTATGATAAAAGATCGAAGTACCCCGGATCATTGTTAATTACCGAAGCAACTTTTGTCTCTGAACAAGCAGGTTTATACGACAATATACCAGGCATTTGGAATGATAAGCATGCCCAAGCGTGGAAGGAAATCACTGACAGGGTCCATGAAAATGGTTCTTTCATGTCAAGTCAGTTTTGGTTTTTAGGAAGAGTTGGTGATCCACAATTATTAAAAGATCAAGGTTTAGATTATGTTGCACCATCAGCCATATATCCAGATGAAGATCATAAAAAGAAAGCAGAAGCTGCAGGTAACCCAATTAGAGCTTTGACAGAAAAAGAAATTCATGATATTATTTATGATACTTATACTAATGCAGCTAAAAATGCTATTGCAGCTGGTTTCGACTATATTGAACTCCATGGAGCTCACGGGTATTTGCTTGACCAATTTTTGCAGCCGGCTACCAATCAAAGAACTGATAAGTACGGTGGTAGTATCGAAAACAGAGCCAGATTTGTCTTAGAATTAATTGACCATTTGACGACCGTTGTTGGTGCTAACAAATTAGCTATTAGAATTTCTCCATGGGCCACCTTTCAAGGTATGAAGGCGGACAAAGACTCGACTCATGCTGTAACCACATTCAGTTATTTATTACACGAATTGCAAAAGAGAGCAGATAATGGGAACGAACTTGCATACGTATCTATTGTTGAACCTCGTGTCCTGGGCATTTTAGATGTTGAAGTATCTCAGCAGGTCGGTGATAATACCTTCGTTGGGCAAATTTGGAAGGGAATTATCTTGAAGAGTGGTAATTATACTTATGATGCTCCAAATTTCAAGACATTGTTAAATGATATCAGTGATAACCGTACTATGGTAGGTTTCGC